AGGATGGCAAAGGGGAGCACCCTAGCCCAGACATCTGTGAAGCTACCAGAGCACACCTCCAGGGAACTTCACATTGTACATTTACCCAGAATATCAATAGTCTAACAAGCACATCTTAAAGCATAGTCTGTGGAAAAGGAAAGGTCAGAGGCCTGGGAAATAGCACATACTCCAGCTCCTGTGAGGATTCATGCACAATTCCCACCAGCAGATTCCAAACACATTTGAAGTTCTGCAGAAAGAAAACTGCTCAGCTGTTTAACCCAGCACAGATATCTGACCCTCCCACCACTGCCACCACAGGGAAAAAACACCTATTAATATCCTGTGGCACCAGCTTTGGAAAATGCCTCCGACTTTGAGCCTTCATTCTCCACCCTAGTGAGAGATACTTTCCTGGGGCCCAGCTATGGGGCTGAAAGCCACTCCATCAGACCTGGTCAGAGATGGCAACAGTCTCACTGAGGTGACACAGCTCAGGGAGATGGCACAGGGGTCAGGGACTCCTGGTTTGCATATGCATAAACCTGGATTAATCCCCAGCACTGCCTGATCTCTTGAGCATCACCTGGTATGGCCCTGACATTTTCCAGCATTATAGGGCCCAGGCATCTCTGTATCCTCAAGCCCTAGCACTCAACACTGGCCCAGTCAGCCAAGTAGTACCCGCCACCCCCACCAGTCCTTTGGAGCACAGCTTGGAAGGCTCTCCCCACCAGAAGAAGGAGGAGGATGGGAGGAGTAAATGGTAAAATGGAGGAGAAAGAGGAGAAAGAGAAGGGGAAGGGGAAGAGAAAGGGGAAGAGGAAGAAGGAGGAGGAAGAGGAGGAAGAGGAGGAGGAAGAGGAGGGAAAGGAAGAAGAAGAAGAAGAAGAAGAAGAAGAAGAAGAAGAAGAAGAAGAAGAAGAAGAAGAAGGAGGAGGAGGAGGAGGAGGAGGAGGAGGAGGAGGAGGAGGAGGAGGAAAGAAGAAGAAGAAGAAGAAGAAGAAGAAGAAGAAGAAGAAGAAGAAGAAGAAGAAGAAGAAGAAGAAGAAGAAGAAGAAGAAGAAGAAGAAGAAGAAGAAGAAGAAGAAGAAGAAGAAGAAGAAGAAGAAGAAGAAGAAGAAGGAGGAGGAGGAGGAGGAGGAGGAGGAGGAAGAGGAGGAGGAAGAGGAGGAGGAAGAGGAGGAGGAAGAGGAGGGAAAGGAAGAAGAAGAAGAAGAAGAAGAAGAAGAAGAAGAAGAAGAAGAAGAAGAAGAAGAGAAAAGAAGAAGAAGAAGAAGAAGGAGGAGGAGGAGGAGGAGGAGGAAGAGGAGGAGGAAGAGGAGGGAAAGGAAGAAGAAGAAGAAAAGAAGAAGAAAAAGAAGAGGAGAAGAAGAAGAAGAAGAAGAAGAAGAAGAAGAAGAAGAAGAAGAAGAAGAAGAAGAAGAAGAAGAAGAAGGAGGAGGAGGAGGAGGAGGAGGAGAAGGGGGAGGAGGAGGAGGAGGAAAGAAGAAGAAGAAGAAGAAGAAGAAGAAGAAGAAGAAGAAGGAGAAGGAGAAGGAGAAGGAGAAGGAGAAGGAGAAGGAGAAGGAGAAGGAAGAAGAAGGAAGAGGAGGAGGAGGAGGAGGAAGAGGAGGAGGAGGAGAGGAGGAGGAAGCAGCAGCAGCATAGATTGGAATCATGATCAAAGGTACTACTAGAGCCAAAGGGATTGAAGACCTTCTGGAAGAAACCAGTGCATTTAGGAGGAAATCGTAACTCAGCTGAGCTCCATTCAGGACCACGTGATTCCACCTTAAGCTCGTGTCACTTCTCCTGAGGTCCTTTGTACAAAACCTCATTTCCTTTTTGTGGAACAGTAACAAGTTAGGATATCCAGGCCCAGGACCTGCAGCTGCTGCCCAGAAGACAGGATTGCAGTCCAATTGGTCACAGAAATGCCTCTTGTAAACAAAAAGAGTGCCTGCTTTCCAAAAGCAGGAAAAATTTCTCAGTTAAAGAAGATACTATTCTCCCCTTGCCCAAAAGAATGCTGTGCTTTTGCCTAGCTGGGTTCATTCTCATTTCTAAGGACTGCATGGCTCAGAGGGGGAGCTGGGAGAGAAGGACTTCACCTCCTGAATATCAACTCCATCACAGGCTTATCCATCTCACTATGAAATCTCCATGTCTGAAGCCCCAATAAATAGTTATTGAAAATTGAATACATAAAATAACATATGAATGATTAAACTCAGTAGATGAATTTACCTATAGCTAGGGGAAATTAGTGCAGGATATGATTAAAATTCTAAATTCAGGGGGGGCTGGAGCACAGAGGGTAGGGCGTTTGCCTTGCATGCAGCAGACCCGGGTTTGATTCCCAGCATCCCATATGGTCCCCTGAGCACTGACAGGGGTAATTTCTGAGTGCAAAGCCACGAGTAACCCCTGTGCATCACCGGGAGTGACCCAAAAAAGAAAATAAACTCTGAATTCAGGGCTTGGAGTATGACTCGGTGATAGAGCACAGGCCTTGCATGTGTGAAGTCCTGGGTTCAGTCCCTGCCATAACATACAATAAGTTGCATGACTTTGGACAAGTCACTAAACTTCTCTCACTCCATTTATTCCCTATCATTTGGGGGGAAATAACAATTCCCACTTTATAGATTGCATGACAATAAATGAGTTAGTATGTATTAAGTGCTTAGGCTCATACATGGTACATGGTACATATAATATAGTATACACATATAGTGCTTATAAAGCATGATCTACTGCCACCCTTGTCATTTTCATAGTCATGCTGGTAGGTACAAGAGAGTTAAACTGGAAAAATAAACCTGATATTTCATCTAGACACCAAAACCTTTCATTGAACATTATTTACTAAACATTATTCAGGACAAGCACTCTGTCTAACTCCTGTTTGAGTAAAAGGAGGAGAAAACTTGTGTAAACATGAATCCAGAAGGAGAAACAATCTTGTCATGTATGGATGTTAATTTTTGCTGACTGTATATGGCTAGCTCCAACTATGAGTGCATCCTCTTGGGCCCCTAACATATGAAAGCCCAAAGCCATGGCCTTAATTGCAGCCAGCACGGGAAAACTAAGAGATGAATATCCAGGTGGAGAAAGACCAGGAAGGCCAATTGTATCTTTAGGGAATAAAAGGTATCTCCCTGCTTCACCCTAAGACTACATTTTATATATTCAAAAGATTGTCAAGATCTAGGTTTGATATTAAGGCCACCTGAAGACTGATTCACCTACTACAATGACAACAAGGGGACCAATAGGCCACATCTTTCAAAATCTTCCTTCACCCAGCTGCGGGCTACTCACCCCTGACGCAGGGGTGAGTAGCTCATACTCTTGGGCCCCTGACATATGAAAGTCCAAAGCCATGGCCTTCGCAGCTGTAAGAGATGAATATCCTGGAGTGGGGATTGGGGGGTAGACCAGGAAGACAGGTTGAGGGTAGGGCTGAGAGTTCAAGAATCTCTCATCGAGCCCCAGGATTCTCAGAACAGGCTGGCTGGCTTGCGGGGCTGCAGCGAGAGCAGGCAGACCAGGTCATCTCGTCCACACCCGCTGTTAACACTCCAGGAGGTGACAGCTGACCGGGGCTGTGGTGCCACAACCACTCAGCACTCCCGCTTACTGCCCCGGGAGGAATGTCCCCAATGAGGATGGCTGCCAGCTCTCTTCAGCCTGAGGATGGCCAGATATTGGTCACCACACCCTTAGAGGCCAACAAAGCTCGGGCGATACTACAGTTCCTTCTAATGCTTCACCCAGCTCCTCTGTGATTATGTCACCATTCAGCTTCAGCTGCACACAAGGATTTCGCAGTTTGGGGAAGTGACACTCTAATTAGCAAGTGTCTCCTGTACCAGGGCCTCTCAAAACTCCCCCCAGGCTTCTGCCAGCGGGCAGGAGTCACCAGCAGCTCCTCTGGCAAAGCAGCGACCAGTAAGTTCAAGGGCAGAAAAGAGACCGCAGTGTTCCTCTTTTTGGCAGGGAGTCAGAGAGTCGAGGATGAAGCCTCAAACGACCCCATCACTGTCATCCTAGTCATCTGGCCCTCAGCCTTTGCATCGCATCGGGTCGGTTCTCAGGTCCGTGGAAACCTGCCTTAGGGCTGAGTTGGACAAGTCCCGGGTCCCTAATTTTCTCTGAACCTGGCGATTTCCATAGAGGCCGCCAGAAAGCCGGATGCGGCCGGGTCCCCTAAGGCCGCTGGACAGGCATGGCCAGACGGGCCGAGTGCGGGCTGCTCCTGGGATGGCAGTGCCGCACCCCAGGCCCGGGAGTTGCAGCTTCAGTGAGTCGAGGAGGAGCCGCAGCGCCCGGACCCCGCCCCGGGCCACGCTTGGTGGGCGGACCTCGGGCCCAAGGTCAGCAGCAGGGTCCGGCGCGCTACCGGGTTCGTACGGGGTGTGGGGCGGGGGCCTGCAGGGGCGGCCTTTAGCAGGTGCAGGAACCGAGTGTTGCAAGGGCGCATCTCTGCGGAACCTCCAGCCCGAGAGGCCCCGCCCGAGGTCGGGGCACCGCCTCTTAGTATGGGCGCGGGGTGGCCCACCCTGGAGGCTACCTGCGAGCACCGGAGGAGCTAGGGCCCTGCCTGCCGCCGGGGCCACCTGGGCCTGCCCACGGCCCCGGGGTGCCCGCGTCGCGCTGCGCCGGGGAAAGTGGGGGGCTCGGCGGGCCCGCGGCCGGAAGCGCCCCGGGCAGGCTCCCGACCCCGCCTCCGCCGCCGCCGCCGGGGACCCTCCTCCCCCTCACCGATCGCTCCCCATCGGGTTCGGCACCCCCCCTACCCCGCCAGCACTTTCCCCAAAGTGAAAGTCTGGGGTTCCGGTCCCCGAAAGGTGACTTACTCCCTGGAGCTGAACCGGCTTTCAAGCTTGGATTTTCTCCAAGGCGTGGGGCTTAGATCACCTTCCTGCCCCTCCCAATACACACACACACACATACACACACACACACACACACACACACACACACACACACGCACGCGCACACACACAAACACACACACACACTCCAACCTTCTGCTCCGGCTGGGTGGGACACTCTCTTCGCAGTCCAAAGGGACCTGGTAGTGGCCACAGGGGGTGGCTTCCTGGTAACCTCCTTACTGGCCCGTTCGGCAGGGAAACGCTGACCACGCCTCCCTCCGTGGACCGCCTGGGTTCTGGAGGTGCCCGCAGCTCCCCTCTCTCCCCTTCTCGACACTCTTTAGTGACTGCAGTCTTCCTGCTCTATAGCGCCCTAGCTTTTCACTGGGGGGAGGGAATCCCAGCCCCCCCCCTCCTGTACCCTCTTTCTACCCTTGCTGGGAGTCCCACCAGCTCCTATGGTTTGGAGTGGTGTGTGTGTGTGTGTGTGTGTGTGTGTGTGTGTGTGTGTGTGTGTGGCAGTTTTTCAGGGTTTTTAGTTTGAGAGGATTTTTGGAGGGTTTGTTTTGGGTCTGTGGTTTTATACCTTTATTATGACTTCTCTTTAGTTCTCGTCCACAGAATAGATTTTTAAAAGTAGTGGCAGGTACATAGATTACCAGTGTGATTTTAACAACCTCCTCCCTATTAGTGACTTTTTAAAAATGTTATTAAAAAAACATGACTTACAAAGTCATTGATAGTTAAGCTTTAGACATATAATGTTCCAGCACCAATCCCATCACCAGTGTCAATTTCCCTTCACCAGGGGTCCCAAGTTCTCTCTAGCCCCTTCCCAGCCTGCCACCTTGACAGGCACATTTTTCCACTAGGCTGTGGTAGTTTGGATTTCGTTTTGTTGCTGACTTTGTAGTTTGATATATATCATGAGTGACTCGACGACCTCATGACCAGCAGATGGTACCTCTAACCTCCTGAAGGTCCTCTTACTAGCTCCTAAGACAACTAATTCCTTCCAGGAATGTGCCAGAACCTGTATTTCCAATATCAGGAAATGCTACTAAGGACTCTGCTTTCTGGGACCACACTTGTGTATTTGGCCCCTTCTTTCTCTAACCTCTCCTCTCCCACCAGTTTGTCACAAATGTGAAATAAAAGGCTTTTTATGAGCTGAATGTCCCCACCATGCCCTGTGCTTTCACATACTTGTCTCATTTAGCAAGTACCAACTCTATTTCTTCTGCCTGATATTTACAATTGATTTCTTTACAGATGTCATGCAAGTTCAAGGTTTGACATCATTATAAAGCACATTGAAGACATTACAGTGAAGAGGAAACAATTTCTAATTACTCCATATTTGATGGATGGTACAACATGCCTTCTTCCACTTTAAAGTTCTGAGCAAAATTCTGTTTATTGAGAGCAACATGTTTAAAAATTCCTTTAGTAAATCTTGTTTTAATATTTTATAAGGCAATAAAATATGCTTTCAAATTCAGTTAATGGCAATACTTAGTCCTAATGGGCATTACTATCCAAAAATAAAAGATCTCACAAAGAGAAATAGACCCAAATAGAAGAACTCTACCTTTGTAGCACGATTCTTATTAAATCATATTTCCCTCTTTTTCAATTTCATCCACTAATTTTTCAAAAGTGAAATTCCATTCCATTTATCCATGTGGCCTCAATATTTCCATGATTCCTTGTGTAAATATTTGTAATAAAGGGGATTGTTTTTAACACTTTAAAACTTGTTTTAGAAGACTGTTATATAGACTAAAAAGTAAATTTCTCAATTATGAAGACTGTGGCTATGAAAGTCGAAGTGACATGCTTCTTTTTTGTCACTAGGATCACATGCTCATGGAACCAGTCCTGGGCATCCGTTTTCAAGGTGCTCATGACAGCCTCAGTACTGTGGTCTCCACTGGTTTGTTCTTCTTTAGTTTTGTCTGTCCCCTCACTTTGTTTCTTTATAGCTGGCATGTAGGTGAGATCATTTGATACCTTTCTAAGAAGCAGTTTTAAATTCCACAACTTAAAACTCTTTGCCTTGGAGGCTATCAGTAAACCTTTGACTAATATAAAAGATCTTCAACACCAAGGAGATAGCTCTCCCTTAGACATGGTATATATATCCCCAGCACCACATGGTCCCTCAAGCACCCCTTGGAGCATCCCCTAGCACCTTTCTGAGAAGCTCCTAAATACATTGAACCTCTGGGTGTAGCCCCCCTCAAAATTTTTTTTTCAGACATTCCACATTTTATTGCCAATTATTATAAATAACCTGCCTTAATTTTTTCACTCCAAATTGATCTTGTTATTGACATTCTGTTTACTAGAACCGTATTGCGTGCTTCTATAATATTTTGGAACTCATAGAAATGTACAGATGATAAATATATGTACTATGCAGATTTTTTTGTTGTTGTTGATTTGGTTTGGTTTTATTTTGTAGTACTGGTTAGGAAGTTTCCAGAACACCCTGGTTTCCCTCTTCCCTGACTCTCTCTCTGCAGCCAATTTTGACTTACCTTTGTTGACAGACCCACAGTCGTCTCACTGGAAAGTATGAAAAGAACAATGAAAGGAGATTTTAAGGACATTTTATTCCTTTTCATATATAACAGTCCTCCCATTGCTGATCGATTTCCTTGAGCAGGCCCAGTAACGTCTCCATTGTGAGACCTGTTGTTACTGTGCTTGGCATATCGAATACGTCATGGGTAGCTTGCCAGGCTTTGCAGTGCGGGCGAAATACTCTCCGTAGCTTGCTGGGCTCTCGGAAGGGGGGGAGAAATTGAACCCGGCTAGGCCGGGTCAGCGGCTTGCAAGGCAAATGCCCTGCTGCTGTGCTATCGCTCCGGCCCAAAGAAATGCTGTATGACAAACTAATTTCTTCAGACTGTGGTAGGGACAGCATTTTGAAGACTGGTTCTTAGGCACAGTGTTCATTAAAAGTCTAAGTCATTTCTTTAAATGCTGAATTAATATTCTCTTCATTATTATTTTCAGTTTTCCTGTTTACTGCAATATAACTGGACTTTAGGTGATGATATAATGTAACACAGGAAGAATCTGCTATGTCTGTATCCCAAAACCTATAATTGGGGCTGGAGCTATCTAGTGTAGTGGGTAGGGCATTTGCCTTGCACACAACTGACCCGGGTTCGATTCCCAGCATCCCACCTAAGAGCCCAGAACCACCTGGCACCCTCCAAACGATGGAAACCTCGGAACCAGGCACCAACACTGGCTGTTGGGAGTTCCTTTGGCTGACTTTGGCTCTCCACCAGAACCTCGCTGTCATCCTGGAAGGCGCAGACCTGGGATGAGGCAGCCAGGACACAGACCACCCGCCACACAGGACAACTTGGATTGATGTGTCAGGGGCAGGGCAGGGAATCAGGGCAAGCAGAGCCGGGCAAGGCCGGCACACACGGGCCCTGGCCCCTCCCCCTTTCCCCGCCAATTATGCCCTGTCCACCACACCTCTCCCTGCCCATTGTGCCCTGTCCACCACACCTCACTGCAGGCCACGCCCACACGAGGTGCCTAGGAGACCCAGGGGCCTCCTGGACTTCATTTGGCCTGTAGCCGAGCTTCAGGCCAGAGGTCAAAAATGCCTCGTAGCAGTTCGCTGTATGAGGTGCGGTCCCAGGGCAGCACAGCGCTGCCCAGGAAGAGGCAGTGGCGCGACCCGAAGCGGGTGGAGGCCCTGCAACGCCGCCTGATCTTTTCCTGGTTCACCGTCTCCTTCAGTATGGTGGGCATCGTGCTACTGCTGGCCACCATGCGCGTCCCGGAGGACAACTGGGACAAGCTAATCTACCTGGTCGTGGGCGGCTACTTCCTGAATCTTATCTGGTGGACCAGCTGGTTTCGGTGGACCTTCGAGCCGGGGTCCGGCGATATCGAGGCCAACGCTGACGGGGCTGCCGTGACCACCGCTGAGGCCCGGGCTTCCAGCTCCCCGGACCCGGCCACCCACATTTCTTTCGACGTCTAGGACCACGCAACCCCCATTGGCCACTCGCTGGCCTCCGTGCAGGGTAGCAGGCGCGTCCCCAAAACCGCAAAGGGCAGCTTCTCCAGCCTGAGCCAGGCGTTCTCCTCCACCTCGCCTGGCAGCAGGGGGGCGGGCTGGATCTCTCGGCTCCGCCTGCAGAGCCGGGCCGTGGGATCCTGGATGGCCAAGCATCTGCAGTCGCACGGGAGCAGGATGGCTGTCCAGCCGCTGGTCCGGGCCCCGCAGGCCACTCAGAAGCCAGTGCCCAGTCTCCGACGCGCCCCTGTGGGCCCATGCCTGGTGTCCAGCCACGCACTGCCTCGCCCGCAGCCGTCCCCCGCCATCTGGTCGAGCATGCCCACGCTGCCTATGGCTGGCTGTCCTCCTTGCCTCTTGCCAGTGCACTGCCACTCCTCACTCCGGCTGCCCCAGCTGTTCACTGGTCAATCGCTGCAGGCTGCCCTGAGATGCCCGCCAGGAGTGCCCGTCCAGGGCCACCCTCCTGCTGCCCAGAATCCTGCACTGGCCTGGCCTGGCGGACCCCGTCCACTACGGCTCCCTTCTCTGCAGCCTCGCCCTGAGACCACCGTGCCGGAGCCACATCCATCCCTGCGCCCGACCGCTGGGAACCACTCGGACGCCCCTGTCCTCCACACCAGCTCCAGCGAGGGCACCACGGTGCGCAAGATCTTGGTGCAGCCCCAGATGCCCGGCCAAGTCCAGCAGCCCCAAGGGCCGGAATCTCCAGGTGCCAACGCTCGGGAGCCAAGAGATTCGCACCTCTGTCCCATAGACTGTTGACGAGAGTCCTTAACTCAAGGCACAGCGAGCCCGCAGCACCTCACCCGGGGGACACAGATAGAAGCCCGCGTCAGACCAGGTGCCTGCTAGACCCCTGCCCAGCAAGAGGTCTCCATTGAATCCCAGGTGTCTGAGAAAAATAATGTCGTTCCTATACAGATGCTGGGAATCTCCATGAATGGGACTTTTAAAATTAAGATCAGTTTTCACATGGAGATGTGCATTAAAGTTTGTTTGCTATGAAAAAAAAAAGAGTACTTTTTATTCTTAGTGAAGCTGAACAATCATTAGCCAGGATGATAAAAATTAACATTTTCAATATCAGTTTTATCCAAATAGATATTTCTGATTCATGCTAACAAAAGGATAATTATTCTTCTGGAGAGGTGCCATGAAATGCCCACCCAACATCACCAACAACCATGT